GCAAAGCAAAAAAGCAGCACTTTGTTGACCGAAAGTGGCTTGGATGGTTTTGAAAACATGAAAGCGAAATGCCATACGGCTATTACGATATTTTGTGGAGCTTAAAATGTAATTTCTTTTATAAATATAAAGACATATTAGAGAAAATTTTAAGAATTAACTTATAAAATAAGTTTTTTAATAAATTTTAAAAAATTAAAATATATAATTTTCTCAAAATTTATTTAAAAATTACTTTAAAAATAATTTTTAAAATTTTCTAATAAATTTTTAAATCTATAAAAAAATTATCTTTTAACTTCAGCCAAGCACCCTCTTTCGATCCTAATGGCCATGGGTTATTCTAAACTGCATATGAGGCCCCTTAGTGCCACCCTTTCTCTATCCATCACTGTATATCCTTTTCTATAAATGTGGGGCTTTAGTTATCAATCACCACACACCCCAAAGTTCATATGGATAAAAATGAAAATTTTATCTAATTTATGTCTTAAAGTCACAAATTAAAAGTATATCAATTATATTTTTTATAATTAATTTATATAAATAAATAAAATTTAAATTTAAATTTATCAATTATTAAATTAAAATTATCTACATAAAAATAGCATTAAAACAAAATCTACTTTTACATATTTTTATAAAAATTTATTAAAAAAGTGTAATTAATCATCCACTTAGAAAAAACCAAAATGAAAAACGTTTACAGTGCGATCAGTAATTGTCATATTGTAATATATTAAATGTATTTGGACAGCTTAAACAAGAAGTATAAACTGTTGCCCTTAAGCTACTCTTTTTTTTTTTCTTTTACCTTAAATATACTACTTTTATTTAAGATATAAATAAAAAAAAATATTATCAAAGAAAATTTACTCAACAAAAGTTACGTTTCTTACCTTAAAAAAAGGTTCAAATAAATATAACAATTTTTGTCATTTTTTAATTTAAAAATATAAATTTTTTGAATTTTTTAATTAGGTGTAGACTTCTTTCTTTTTCCTAAATAAATATATAAATCATGTTTTTTTATTTAAGAATTTATTAAATAACAGTGATGATGTAATAAACGATAATCTTAATAGCAATAAAACAAAATTTGTATTTTTAAATAAAAAATAAAAAATATATATATTTAAATAAAAATATTAAAAATTTATATCTAATTTAAAAACTTAAAAACTTTATATTTTTAAATTAAAAAAAAAATTAATATTTTTATAGGAGTTTTTCTCAGGTCAACCGTCAACGTTAAGCTAATGGAGGCAAGGAGTCCCACTTGATGGTACTACTAGTAAAAATGAAAAATGAAAGATTAATGGGAACTTACATTCCCCACGGTGGTCCTTGACAACAAAAGCTTCGGTCATGGCTTCGCGAACGCGAACGCCGGGGAAGCTCCCTTGTGCTACTTTCGCTCCGATTCTGAACTTCCGACTCCGAATCCAGCTCGAATTATCCGTGAACTCAAGGTCTCCGACCGATGCAACCCCGTCCCTCAGCGTCACCATCAACTCTCCGGTGAGCAGGGGGCGCTTCCCAGTCCTCTCCCTCACCATGTTACTCTCAAACTCTTCGCTGGTCCAACTGTCACAGTCCCCCGGAGGGAAGTCGCCGTCAAGAACAACGATGTCGACTTTGATTGGGTTGGGGAGAGAAAACGGAACCATGGGGCCGGTTCTTGCGTCCACCAGGAGTATTTGGAGGGAGTTGTTTTCGGCATCGGAGATCTTCGTTCCGGTGAAGATGGGCAGAGAAAGTTTGTTGCGGAAAGTTAGTTGAAGGGTGGAGGGTTCGGGTGCTAATTGGATCCGCAGTGATGGAGACCGAGTGAAGAATGGGAGACGGTGTCGTATGCCATGCTCTACTTCCTCATGCACCTGAATTAAAACATAGTATTAACAAGTCTTAATTAACTTTTAGAGAAAATTTCATAGAGAAAGAAACCAAATTAAAAGCTTATTAGTCATCATTTTTTAGTGAGAATGTGCAACAAAATTAAAAAGGAATATCTAACATATGTTAAAATTAATTTACAATAAGTAGAGTAGTACATTCTATATTTTTAAACCATATATGTTTTTTCTATTATTTTAATTTGTGACATTCCTACTTAATAATTCAAAAAGTTATCTGATTGAGAAATTTTGTGTGTATGTATATACTTATAAGTTGCATGAAATGAAATATTATTCTTGTTCTCTAGGTAAGAATCTCAACATACCACTTTTCTAAGGACAGGTTCCAAGGCTGAGCAGAGATTCTGTAAGTAATTCCCCATGATCACTTCCCCAATCACACTGTCAAGACCAAAAGGCAAAATCATTCCATGGCAATCAAGATTCACTTAATTAAGTTAATTGCACCGTGCGAAGTAAGAAACATAGAATTTACAAAGAAAATAATCCTTGATTTCAGTTTATAAGCAACCTTAATTAGACTTTGAAAATTCAATAAAAAGTTAGAATGAATATTAGCAAACAAATTATGAACTAAGTTAAATTGTATATGAATGCATATTGTATAGATATGAAAGCTTTAATCAAAGACTTACGCGGCAAAGGAAGGTCTAGTTCTCATCCGTTTATCATTGGGCTCGTCTGGATCGGAACCAGATTCACTGAAAAGCCTTTTAGCAGCCATTTTTGGATAACCAACCGAATGAAGCAAAAAAGTGGAGAAGGACGTGAAAAAGAGAAGAGAAGAGAAAAGAGGCTAAGGGTTGGAGAAAATATAGGTCTAAAATGTTTGCTTATAAAGGGAATTAAAAAATAATATAAAGAAGCTTCTTGGAATGATTAAGGAAACATCTGAGCAAGAGAAGTGAGCTTGTGGTGCATGATGCTAGCAAGGACTTAGACGTCAACTCCTCATTTGTCTCAAGTCAATCCAAACCCTTTTGCATTATCCTTTTTCTTACATTTTTAAAGATATAATTATAACAACCTAATATTATAGCGACATAAGATTTTGTTAAAATAAGACAAATTTTATTCAATTTGATTAATATTTTATTAATGTATAATTTACTTTTAAATAATTAATTATAATGTTTAAAAATATTAATTTATAAGTTAATTTTAATTTATTAAATAATAATTATTAATTATTTTGTTATTTATTCATTATTTTTAATAATTAAATTAATCAAACAAAATTACTATTTTTTAAATAATATTGTGTGGCCATCACTGCACCCATTTTTCATGTGCACAAGGGTTTGTGGACCCTTGGATCAACATTAATCCGACGATTCACACAATGTGAACCCTGGATTTTTTTATTGCAATTGTGGAGGAAAAAATCAGGCAAAAGCCTACTTTTTTTTAGCCCCCTTACCTTATTAAATTTAAAGGCTTTAGTCCCTTACCTTATATTATAACACTTTTAACCTCTCATTTTACTAAATTTGTAGATTTTTAACCTATCACCTTATATTATAACACTTTTAGTCCCCTCACCTATTAAAATTGAAAAAAATAACCTTCACTTTGTAACATTTTATTAGTTCTGTTAGTTAACTGTTAGCTAGCTGTTAACTTTATTAATTAACTGTTAGTTAACAAAAATCTTTTGTTAGGTGACAAAAACCTTCTGTTAGATGACAAAAACCTTCTATTAGTTAACAAAAACCTTCTTTTAATTGACAAAAACTTTCTTTAACTGACATAATTAATAGAACTAATTTTATAATATTTCGTTCATTCTGTTAATTAACTATTAATTAACTGTTAGTTGACAAAAACTTACTTTTAGCTAACAGAGTTAACAGTCAGTATAAAATGAGGCTTATTTTCTTCGATTTTAATAGGCGAGGGGTTAAAACCTACAAATATAGTAAGGTAAAGGGTTAAAAGTATTATAATATATGGTTATGGTTAAAACTTTCAAACTTGATAAGGTGAAGGGCTAAAAGTAGATTTTTGCCAAAAAAAATCAAGCATGTGTATCCAAAATCCCAAATTGTAAAATAATACTATTCTGCAGTTCTGTGTGGGGCTGCTTTCAGGGAAAAAATGGGAGGGTTGGTGGGATTGTTTTGATTTGTGTTATTGGTGTAAAAATAGTCAATTAGTCCCTCATTTCTTAGAAGGATCAATTTCATGGAGGGTCCCATGGTAGGGGCATGTTTACCCTTCTTCTTTTTTTAATTCATTTATACAAGCTAGACCTTAGGGTAATGCTTTACTCTTTTTTCATAATATAAGAAAGCGACATCATTCAACAAATCAATTGGGTTGTAGTAAATTAAATGAACGACTCAGACTAAACTAGCCTAGAGATTGTGCACACACACCCAAAACTGCAAGAACCGTCATTCCTCTACTTATCAACGCGATAAAGAGTACTAATCCCAGAAAGGGTGCTCTAAGGCAAACCATGTTCTTTCACTTACTAATGCAGGCACTTTTGTTTGGAGAACGACATATGCTTATTAAAACTTAGTAAAGCATATAATTGAGCATAAAAGTAATTTTAATGGGGTCTCTTATTTTTATTAGAGATCCCTTTATTATATGGAAGATCGGTTCCCCTGCAAGAACCCGTCCCCCAATCTCCTTTCTCCTTTTTCTTTTTCTTTTTTTTTATTTAAAGTTAAAAAATCTAAAAAATCTAAAAAATCAAGCCCTCCTCATATTCAAAATGGTCATCATAATTATTTATTGAGTAGATCTCAAGAATAAGATCCACTCAGCAATAATTGTGATGCACGTTTTAATTTTTATATTTTTTATAAGATTATTTTTTTAATTCTACTTTTTTAATAAAATAATATATATAATAATATGATATAAATAAAATAATATTAAAGTTTTTGTTAGAGAGTTGAAAAATAATAAATGTAAAATTGAGGTGACATTTAAAAGGATTTATGTTGGTCTTTGTGAGGAGATTATTTATGTTTTGAATCTTTTATATTTTATTATATAAAAAGAGGAGAAAACATTTGAACTTTCGAATACAGTGACATTAAATTATATTTTAAGTATATTCTTATTTTTTGAGCAACGATTTAAGTCTAATTTTTTGTAAAATTGTTCAAAAAAAAAAAGAAGAAAGAGAAATTACTGTAGATTTTAAGAAATTTGTTTGTTTTAAAGGTTAAAATAAAAGAAAGCCGTCAATCATTACTGTGATTTAATAATTACAATCATTTAAAAAAATGATAATATTTAAATTTTTTTTTTTTTAAACATTTTGACACGGGGCGAGTTCGAAACCCGTCTAGGGGAGGGAGGAATGCACCTAACAAGCTGGTTAATGCTAGTGGGCCTCTAGGCCCAGGTGCGATAATATTTAAAAATTTAAAATTTAAGACTCAAATAATTTTTATTTTTAATTCTTTAATTGTACTAGATTAAAAAAAAA